ATTACCCATCGATTGTTGGCAGCTGAAGTGAGATTCATTATCAGAATATTTCTATGGATTCTTGAACGACTAATTTATCGGTTTTCTCGTGAACTCACATCTGTGAAGCCATGAATAAATTCAAATTACAGCTCAACAGCTTCTGCAATTACGATATGACAGAATCTATTTGCTGACAATGGATCAAACAAGAGAACATACGGAAGATCAGTGCGAGTTTTAATATTATAAACGAGCGATGTGACAGTAACACCACCGATCATCTGAATTATTTGTAAGGTGGTGAGCGACATTGCTATAGATCTGCAAAAACAAAACGCACACTTTTGACATCAACCTTGGAAAGCACCTCCTCAATCACACTAAGGTTTTTACGTTCGTCTTAATCAACAGAGATATTCGACAAAAAAGTTTCGGCAGTATTACTCATCATGTCATGATTGGATCTTATTGAAGCTACTATATAATATCCGATGTTATCTTCAATTCACTGTGATTCCACTGTTCCAATGCTGATGACAAGAACCGATTATTCACTCAAGTCACTCTGTATGATACTCATTTTACTTTTTAGCTTATTTTAAGTGGTATTTTACCAATGGACGAACAAAATTCATAGCATTAAAAATACCTTGAAGGTCGGACGCCATATGCAGTACAGGCATAATAAGCGTACATAATGAAATGCACAAAGAAATTCATGCAGACAAAGAAACGTCCTGATGCTGCGTGTTCAGCTCCTTAAATGCATATGAATCGAAAACGAACCGAAAGTAATATTCTCAAAGATAAGTACATTCGAAATTTCTCGGTATTCTGCTTGGCAATCTTCTGATTCAAATGCTCCATTTATAAACTACAATGAGCTNGCTCCTCATTCATTGCCATTGTTACGCATTTGCTTTATGCAAAGAATTGAAAAACTGTTAAAGCTGAGTAAGTGATTTCAATTTCTCGACATCGACATTCACAGACTGTTCGTGTGATTACGACGAATGCTTGCATTGATTAATGCAGCAAATTAGTGAGGAAAACCAACCAGAGTGTGCCGTTAGAATGAGAACAGCGACATGATGGTAATAGTGTAAGAATATGAGCGGCTTCTTCCTCAACACGATGAATAACGTATCACCGAGTTCGACAATTTTCGAAATCGCAAACAAAAGTGACCAGAATGCTGCTGCACCATTCGTATGTATCGTATAACATAGCGAATGATACAGTCCTAATTGAGTATAACTATATACTAGCTCCTGAAATTCCATCAAAAGTTGTGGTATGAGTGATTAATACGCTTAGATGAGTCGTCCACTTGTTATTAGTTCTGTGCAAGTACGCTGTTGACAATCTCAAAAGCGAATAGCCTGTTGAATGAGTTTTTGTTTTTCAGGGTAAAAGTCCGTTCTTGACTGATATGAGCGTTGTGTGACAAGGATGTTTTTCCTGGTTTAAGAACGAGCAGTGATATGTCATCGCGACCAACGAAGTGTCGTTCTCTTCACGAATTCAAGATTTATCATAAACCGTCTCGTATTTTTTCAAATGACTGATATGTGACCTTCAAAATGGGTTTAAAAAGAAAATGTATGCTCAGTCATCGGAAAAACAATTAGCGGAATTGAAGGAATTTCTTTTAGATAATACGAACTTTTGAGTGCGATGAAATGCACACTTTTCGTTTTTAATGTTGTTGTATGAGAATTCCATTAATGAACATATCGTCGCAGCTGATCAATTTTTTCTCAAAACTCCAATTCATGCTCTATGTTCTTCAGTCCTTATCTGTAGTTTGTCAGATGCGCATGCATGCAATACGAGAAAATTCTCATTGATAGTATCATTCAGATGTGCAAAAACTTCCGTGGAACATGTGAGAATGTGTAGTTGAAAACGGTTATGATGAGAAATCGACAGCGCATCATATTCTGAGTGAGTGAGTATTTGCGAGCAGTTAAAAGATAATTTGAGAACCTCAAAGAATCGAATGAATCCGAAGAAGCTGAAGATTGAAAGTGAGGCGTTCCATACGAGAAGTGGTGTTTTCAATTGGAACGGTGGTCGATTTTGCATGAATCGTTGAATGAGTTTTATCAAGATGAAGTAAACGATTGAAATGCTTATCGAGTGATACCAAATACGTTGTAAAACCAGTGTTGATCCAATGTGATCATCGATTTTTTCAAAAGGTAACGCAAACCTTCAATATGAATTTACTGAGTACTCAAAAGCACTCAAAAATAAATGGTTCAAATCATCATCAACTCCTTGTAAATTGCATGAACTGATCTCTGTGCGCATGCCATTGCAATTAGGAAATAACAGCGTAACGATTGTAACGAACAATGTGATGGAACATGTTAACCAACGAACAATGTGATGGAACATGTTAACCAATGTGAATTCAGTTCAGTTATCCCACTGAACATGGTTCTTTTACGGCAATACATCATAAAACTAATTGGAGCGTGCGTACGTACGTTTATCTGATTACATTACATAATTCTGACTGCATTTTGTACAGTGGTTGTGCATTGTAACCTTGATTATGAGCGCCTTTTTATTGAAGATGAAAACGAAGGAATAAATTACGTCCAACTATGTTATATACACAGTATTGTCAACGAAACAAACGATGGAATACGTTCATTCGAAATTCTAAAGAACTCTTAATGGAAGAGTAAGAAAGACTTGAAGAAGATTTGATTCCCTGTGATTGTTGCCAATTGTTGCATAAACATTCAAATGGTCAGCAGCCATTGATACGACTTAAAAAGCAATTCTCAGCAATGCCCTTGATATTTTAATTGAATCATCTAAAACTTCTTTTTTCGTGAAATTCGCCACAAAATCAAAGCAACAAACTTGTGAACGTAGTCATTATGCAGAGAATGTGTAGTATTGTTCGCGTAAACCTCGAAATGGTTGATCTCTTCGAGTCGTCTATAGACCGTCGTTAGGAAAGTACTAAAACTAGCCATTTCCAACGTTCCTTAATGCTTCTGAAATGTTTTTGCTGTTGCATTGTTGAACTTTGAATGGACGGCAGAATGAATTACGCAAGACTCGTTAATTCTTAATGATAGTAAAAATAGCTCTCAAAAAGTGTTCCGCTCGAGCTTATTTCAATTATCAATTTGTCGAAATGATTGATCAAGCTCAATCGGATCAACATATCTAGCGGAACAACACGGAATGTGACAGTAATTGAAGAAATAATTGTGGAGAGATGACTTCATAGGGTGATTTCCAATTTTGTCGATAATGCTGACTCTTTTCCGGTGTAGAAACATTACTCAATAAGAATATCATTGTTTTAAGAGTGTTCTCTGTTTGTATCTGAGAATATCCAACGCTTTCAACTGGACAACTTCTAAGTAAAGCACCGACTCTCTACTATCACATTAATCAGCTGAAGATAAGCATAGAAAAAGTTTATACTTAATTATTAGTCGACGTACAATGGCATGAGATTTATTCCGAGACTTTTTTCCAAAATCGAATTCAATCATGATAACTGTTTTTAAAAAAGCAAATGCCGAGTTTCAGCACGACTGAACGTTCGTCAAGAACTGGTATGTGATCAAAGATGATAGGTGATCAAAGGTGACGACTCGTGACCAAAGCGATATGCAGTATCAGTGGAAAAAGTGAAACTTGTGTTGATTTTCGTAAGCCATAAGATGCAGTGAATGAAATGAAAATAAACTTACGATTAGATAAATCACAATTATCTGAAGATGATTGAAATATGCGAACAGAAAAAAGACCGAAATGAAAAATTGCTGACCGAGATCGTCATAACATTGAGAATCGTTGATATGAGAAAAACAAATGCACAACACATCAATGCGGCACGATGCATAAGTGAATTAGAAATTGGGCGCATGAAAAATGCCCAACAAAAGAATCAACAAAATAATGAAGAATATTAGAGAAGTGTTCAGTTGTCACCATCCGATGAAATTAGGCAAAACTGAATTACATAACGCTTCGAAGACGATCACTGATGCATGTTCATGGGCATAACATTGCTGCATGACCCACGAGAACAAGTTTTGTTGGGTCTTTTATATGTTATCACCAGCATCCTCTCGGAAAAAGAATCAACTCATAAACTAGAAACTATCGTCTAGAAACTGTCAGTAAGAAAAACATGTTGATTAGCCAAATGCAGAATTATTAATGGTCTATGCCGAAAATGTTGTTTGCCAATTGCTTGATGTCTCTAAAATTTCAAACACATCACTATTGGAGAGGAGAACGACACAGAGAATAGGTGATCTGATCAGGAAGCCTCATATAAAATGATGAAGGTTTTCAAGCCGGCTGTGAATTTCTTTCAAAAAACCCGCTAAACACCTTCGCAAATCAAATATTTTCATGCGGAGGACTGATGCATTTAAAATCTAGAGATCTTCAGAAGTTTATTAGTCAAGTGAAACATTTTCAATTGTTCGATGCATATGGAGATGTCAGTAGCAAATGTTGATGATGGAACAGTTTTATCACCAGCATCCTTTCGTAAGAAGAATCAACTCATAAGATTGTTGCATCTACAAACTAGAAACTATGGTCTACAAACTATCAGTAAGAAAGACTGTATCCGTATAAAGAGCTGTCACTACGAAGAGATTTCCGAAAATGAACGAGACAATGGGAATGCGTCATGAGTACGAATGATACGAATAAGTTTCGAATGATTGAATGAATAAATCAAAAAACTTACGTGCAATAATCAATCAGCAATACCGAATGAGCCGAATTTACACGAAGACAGTTTGCTGGTTAAAGAAACCAGTTCTTAGCGAGACTTTGCCCCAAGGATAGTTTCTTAGTTTTTACAGCGTTTTTTGTGAAGTATCACCAAAAAAGTGATGCGTATGAATTGATGGTACCATCGTTGCGAGATTTTTTCGGAAAACTTCATAACGAATTCCCTCATAGAGTGACTTCAGCTTCGCAGTTTGCCTGATAAACAGTAAATAACTTTATTTTCCTCGCATGTAATATGCAGAATGAGGCATTTCATCGAACAGTGCATGCGATGTGATCAGCTGCAGATCTTCTGAGGAAACCTCAGAAATAATTGTGCTAGTTGGTCATTCAAGACAATTCAAACGAATGAGAAGTTCAGCGAATTTCACAACCAAAATCCACGACAAATTCCGAGAAAATCTTTGCCTTCACTCTACTTTACCATCAAATTTTGAATGTTTATTTTACCTCAACCTTATTCATTTTGGATTTCTCAAACAAAATATTATCTGTTCAAGGTAAATTGTGTGAAAACCTCGCAATCAGGTGAAATATGCTTTAAGTGTCAAATTAACAACACTCATAGACACAATAAAAACGAGAAGATGAGTAGTGATAGCAATGAGAAGAATCTCCTTCTTTGCTTTTCGAGAAGTGCTCCGTGAGTTATACGCTCTGAGAAGGAATTTTCTACGCATTGTATGCGAAAAAATCGTCAAATGAGACCATTCCAAATAATGGATTGTTCGGTCTAATAAATACCAAAAAACCAGCTGTTGAATTTAAACTTGTTTCTGCAAAATTCAAGGCTCTTCTGCAATTTCCTAGTGTTGCTCTCTTATGACAACGTTAACAAATCACTCACATGAAATAAATCTTTTTCAATTGAGCAAGCTAGAGTGGAGTTAATCAGTTCAATCTAATGGTGCCATTAATATGTGATATGACGAAATCAGGTTCACTTTAAAATACCGGATTGGAGTGCTCTTTGTGAAGAGGCAGTTTGGTGGAAAGATCCGGAATCGAAATGATCATTCATCACCGGAACGATTATTTGCCGTCATTTTCACTTCCAACTGTTCATAATATCCTTTTCGGAGGCGTTCTTATGAAACGTTCTGAGCGTACTTTACACTTATCGTCT